TGCATCGTCATTTGTACGCTCCTGGAACCTTATCTAGAAGTTGGTGCTTCTGGCGACATTAGAAGCACTGTGATTTAGACGTTACGTCGAACTTATGAGTGCTGGGCTCGAGAGGTTGAGAGGGGAGTGCGGGGGGGAGATACGAGGCCCTGTGGGGGTGATGGGGGGGTGTATAAGGCATTGTGGGGGGGGGGGATGGGGAAGGTATAAGGCTTGTAACTAAGATAAGTTGTCGGTAAATTTGATATGTATTCTACTTGATCGTTGCTTCAATCTAAGGGATTGTAGTGGTTGGTGGGGGGGGGGTCGTAGAGAAGCGGTTGAGGGTCGTAGAGAAGTGTTAGGGATCGTAGAGATGCGGGGAGAGGTCGTAGATAAGGTTTTTTCTTTTTTGGAGGGGGGTCTTTGATGGTGAGGGAGGGGTCGTAAAGAATTGATGGGGGTCTTGGAGGAGTTATGGGGGTCTTGGAAGAGTGATAGACTATGTAAGAATGATTTGGGGGTCTTAGAGGTTTGGTGGTGGTCTTGGAGACGTGATTGGGGGTTCTTAGTGGAAGTGATTGGGGGTTCTTAGGGAAAGTGATAGGGGGTCTGCAAGATTGGTGAATGTCGTAGCAGGAACATTTATGTCTCATAGGGAAATCAATGTAGAAGGCGTTGAATTGTGAATGTTGAATGTGGTAGAGAGAATCTCCATGAATGGTACACGTAAATATCATGAATTAGATAGATAGATAGATATAATTATTTTTCTATCTATCGATTACATTTCCAATTAACAGCAAAATTGGCATAACACGCCCATATAGGAAGCATCGAATATATTTATCATTATTGTCAAACAACAATGGTCTTAAATTTTATTTTGGCAGTAGATCAACCAGCTATAGTTTCACAGTGTGCCAATTCAATACTGAAACTTTGGTAAAAAATAATGTAATGATGGTTCTATAATTGCCTATAATTGCCACAAATTTCCAGCCGTTCTCCGCTTACTCGCCATCACAGGCAATGCTAATGTGGTTGGAATAAATTATGGCTTTTGGTCCGTATACTAAATTGTTTAAATATAAATATATGTATCGATAAATTAGAATGTTTGCTCTCTGTTCAAGGTTTGAGGCAAGACGCTTGGGGCTGGTCTCACTAAAATTTATGTTGAGTATGTACCCAAAATGGTTGTGTATGGGGTTTTACATAAATTAAACGAGTGCCACTAGGAGTAGTGCCAGATTGACCCCCACGACGAAGCCCGAAATATCATATTTACTGACATGTAAAATATTAACCACTGATCTTCACAGACATTTGAGAATAATTGTATCATGTTTTGACCATGTCCTGTGGTGTTGAACCATGTCCAACACCATGGAGGGGACCATGTCTACACCCTCTCGACTCCTGTCTACTTCCCTTTCCTCCAGTGAGAGCGAGAGAGAGAGAGAGAGAGAGAGAGAGAGAGAGAGAGAGAGAGAGAGAGAGAGAGAGAGAGAGAGAGAGAGAGAGAGAGAGAGAGAGAGAGAGAGAGAGAGAGAGAGAGAGAGAGAGAGAGAGAGAGAGAGAGAGAGAGAGAGAGAGAGAGAGAGAGAATCCCAGACGAGAATGCGAGATATGAGTGGAGTAGTGCTTATTAATTATAAACACAAACAGTGGAAAAGTTTCAGGAATTGTCGTTCCGATCATCAAAGAAACTGTCAGCAATGTGGCTATTTCCTCTGTCTTTCTCTGGCTGTTTAGACAGTGAGTCTGTTCCCTCCTGTCTCTTTTGAAACCCCAGACGTCGCCAGTGTCCGCTCACGAGCGCGCGCATGTTCGTTACCCTACTCTGGAGCAAGCTGTGATGCCATTAAAGTTGCATCAGCTTGCATTTAAGCTGCCGTTGCTGCAAGTGATCGAAGCTGGTATTCGATAATTCTCCGAGAATTTGTTTCGAGCGGCGGTATGGTGTATGGAATACAGAAATAGTGGGAATTGTGCCAGGGAAAGGAGGGGAATGAGTTGTGGGTAGAGAGAGAGAGAGAGAGAGAGAGAGAGAGAGAGACTGAGAGAGAGAGAGAGAGAGAAGGGTAAAGGTGGGGGGGGGAAGGGGAGGCGCTGCGAATAGGTTCGGAATGAATGTTGTGATTTTGCTTTTCTTATCCTTATCCTTATCCTTCCGATATAAGCGATGTCCAGAAGCATTCACGGTGATGTAATGTTGTGGAAGGGGTTTTCGTTTTGGTCCGAGAACCAGACCAGAATTTCGATCTCGCTTTAAACTGATAGAATATAACTATGGTCTTAAAAGTCCATCCGGTACCCAAAAAAAAAAAAAAAAAGAAATAGCCAAAACCATGAATGGATTGACTCTTAAAATCCTTACTATCGCTGAATAATGAGCCAGACTTAACCTTAACGGCCCTAGAACATTAAATTGGAGAACTTTACTACAATGCCGTATAAGGCTTGAATGAAGGGGGGGGGGGGCCTGCCGGCTGAGTGGGACAGCGCTCGGGATTCGTAGTCCTAAGTTTCCGGGTTCGATTCCCGGAGGAGGCGGAAACAAATGAACAGAGTTTCTTTTACCCTGATGCACCTATTCAGCAAGCAGGATAGCTGCCTACCTCAAGCAAGCAGCTATCTAACAACCTGGTAGTTAGATAGCTGCTACGGGCTGCTTCCTGAGGGATGTGTAACAAATATGAGGTCTGGACGAGGACCGGGCCGCGGGGACGCTAAGCCCCCGAAATCATTTTGCGATAACCTCAAGATAACCTCAAGATAACCTCATGGTGAAGGCTAAAGACCCAATTTATGTTTGAATATACTAAAAAAACAATTTACGGATGTAAACATCTTTCCTGAAAGTGTTGTATACAACGTTATCTATAAACATTCCCATAAACATTAAATGTTTACCTAGATATCCTCAGACTTCGTTCACAGAAACAAACAAGGAAAAACCACACAAACATGCACCAGTAAACAACCCCCATGTCTTCCTCTGTCTTAGCTGACAGACTAAACAAAGAATTAGTGCCATCTAAACAAGTATAAAAATCAAAACAAAAGATGTTGATACTTGATAGGCAGTTATAATCAAGGTAATGTAGCGCCTCGTACTGCAGTCTCAGGGTCCCACGATCCAGCCTAAGTTCACCAAAGTGTAATTGCCTGTATCCGGTAACGATCTAGTGGTAATTACTTCGAAAGTAATTCACCGTTTGTCTCGTGGTTCAATTCAAGTTCCACTCATTTGTTGGACGTTTCCTTGACGAGTGGATCTCGTCCCCCGCTTGTTCTCCAGAGCGTTTGAGAACGTTCCAGTGACCGTTTTCAAACGATGTGGCGTTCATTCTTGGGTCTCGTGTGCATTCTCCAGTCCTGTGGTTATCACTCTTGGGCAACCCCGAGTGCGTTCTATAGCCGTCTGGCCATAATTCCTGTCCGCGTGCGTTCTCTAGCGCTCTGACCTTCAGTTTTGGCTCTTGTCCGCGTTCTCTAGCGCTCTGGCTTCAGTTTTGGCTCTCGTCCGCGTTCTTCGGCGTTCTGGCTTTCATTTTTGGCTCTTGTCTGTGTTCTCCAGCGCTCTGGCCTTCAGTTTTGGCTCTCGCCTGCGTTCTCCGGCGCTCTGGTTTCAGTTTTGGCTCTCGTCAGCGTTCTCCAGCGCTCTGGCTTTCACCCTTTAAGCCCCCAGAGCGTTTATCTGTACTAATTTCTTTTTCGTTAACCATCTTTTGATGCCACTTTTGCAATTATTTGCCATCAATGTTGCAACGAATCCATTAGGTGCATAACTTTCACTCACTCTGTGCAAAGCGCATCGCAAAAAAAAAATTGGGCTACAAAAATGGATAAAAACACGAACATTTTACAGCAGTTACATGCTCGTGAATCATGCCTTTGCAACGGATGAATTTTGTATCTTCCAAAAAAGGATGAGATTTTTATATCAAGCACATTAATAGTCTCATCTAATATTGATCTCTTAGACACTCAACAAAATGTCTGCTACAATATTTTCTGTCGGTCAGAAATAGTAGGAACTGGGCAGTATTTTAATTCAATGGAATATTTGAGAACCTTAAACGTTGGTGCACTAAACGTTGGTGCACTAAACGTTGGTGCACATTGCTTTGAGTCAGAAGCTAAATATTGATTGTTCTGATTGTTGATTTATAGGGGAATGAGAAGTTTTTTAATGAATAAAGGCTATTCCTTCTAAAGCAAATAATAACAGGCTCATGAAATAAATGGGCATCTAGGAGTAGGTTTCAACTTAGCTTACATAAGTTAAATATATGATAGTTCCCAATGTGTTAGTTTCAAAGTATACTCTTATGAAATAAATGAGTTTCTAGGTGTAGGCTTCAGATGAGCTGAGGTAGGATAACAGCTCTTGCTTGCAGTTTCACTAGGTATGTCATTAGGCATCCATTATGAATCCTAGTCTTAGTTAAAAAAAAAAAGGGGGGGGGGGGAAACTTGTATTCATCCTCAACGTATCTCAAGAAATAAGAAATAAGGAATATTGATGATAGGGAGAGTGAGAGAGGAAGAGAGAAATGAAGACGATAAACAGTAGAATAAGAAGAAAACGCAGGAAAAGGCATCTCTAGCCCTAATTGGTAACACAAGAGATGTGGACCATACCAGCATCTTCCTTCTGGCAAAACTGCCAACACGTCTAACTATCCTGGACGAAAAATATTTTGCCACACATATCTATCCCTCACCCCCCTCCCCCCATCCCCCTTACCCCTATCCCTAGAGTTTATTTTCATGAAAATACTTTTCAAGCAAGATTAGGAGTCTCTCCTGAAATAACTGTAGGTAAAAATGTAACATTGTATTCTATCTGAAGTGAGCGTAGGAGAATTTAATATCGCAACGTCAACACTCTGGCAAAAGAGGTTCAGGGATTTCATTAACGTAAAACAAAACACGATCGGTGAAGAGGCGATCAAATACCTCAAGATGAGACTGTAGCTTCAGGAGGGAGATTGGAATGCCTGACGAGGATGGAAAATTTGAAGTCTGATTTAGGGGATACGCCCCTTAAAAAGTCTGATTTAGGGGATACGCCCCTTAAAAAGTCTGATTTAGGGGATACGCCCCTTAATAAGTCTAATTTAGGTGAGGCTCCCCTTAAAAAGTCTGATTTAGGTGAGGCTCCCCTTAAAAAGTCTGATTTAGGTGAGGCTCCCCTTAAAAAGTCTGATTTAGGTGAGGCTCCCCTTAAAAAGTCTGATTTAGGTGAGGCTCCCCTTAAAAAGTCTGATTTAGGTGAGGCTCCCCTTAAAAAGTCTGATTTAGGCGAGGCTCCCCTTAAAAAGTCTGATTTAGGTGAGGCTCCCCTTAAAAAGTCTGATTTAGGCGAGGCTCCCCTTAAAAAGTCTGATTTAGGTGAGGCTCCCCTTAAAAAGTCTGATTTAGGTGAGGCTCCCCTTAAAAAGTCTGATTTAGGCGAGGCTCCCCTTAAAAAGAGCAACATTTAGGAACTTAAGGAGGAATATAATATATATATATTTTTTTAATTGCTTAGCATTTAATTTTATTTAGGTAATTAAAGAAACATGCAGAATTATCAAGTCTAAATGAGAAATATATGTTCTTAATATATTTACATTAATAATATTCTTATATATTTGCCAAAGGAAAATTAAAACTTCTGGGAAAAAAAAAAGACTGGGAGAGGAAGGGAATTATCAGGCGAAAGCGCAAAGTCACTACGACTATATAGCACTTGGAAGGGTCAGGATAAGGATTTGGGATGGGACGGGGGGGGGGAAGGAATGGTGTTCTAACCACTTTGGGACGATCGGGGATTGAACGCCAACCAGCATGAAGCGAGACCGTCGCTCTACCGTCCAGCCGAATTGGTTGGGTTAATAAAACAAGAAATGACTCATTGATATATATATAATATATAATAATATATATAATAATATATATAATATAATATATAATAATATATATAATAATATATATAATATAATATATAATATAATAATTAATATAATATAATATATATAATAATAATATAATAATGATATAATAATAATAATAATATACATATATGTCAATATGAATCTTGTGAAAGCCATTTTTGTCTTATTAATTATGCGGAAATTATTTAAATTGCAATGAATTTTAATCTCAAACTCAAACATTTTGCAATATCACCCGTGACGTGTTCCATTTTAAAATCTATTTGGCATAAATTGAATAGTTGTGTCGAATGCGAAACAAGGAAATGATTTTATGTTATCAATAAAAGGCCATTAAATGTATTTGGCGCAGTTTGAGAGATTAATAATTCGCTTTCAAAATATCAACTCATTAACTTGTTAAGTTGGCCAATTTCTTTCCTGTTAAATATTTCATCTGTCATTTTCAATCAATGACGAAAATTATATTATATGCAGAGCTAATGGAAGTGTTGGAGGGGGGGAGGGGGGTGAGGAGAGTGGGAGGAGGGACGGGTAGGGGGAGAGAGAGAGAGAGAGAGAGAGAGAGAGAGAAAGGATTAAAGAAGGGGAGAGTGGGTGGGGTAGGTATGGCAATGCGGTTCTCTCTCACCAAAGAAGTAAAGAAGAAGAGGGGGATGAAGAAGGGGCCAGGCGAGGATAGGAGGACTAGGGGGGAAGGATAGAGATGATGATAAAGATGGGAACAACGGTAAATGATTAGGATGAAGCTTGTGGGGTCGAAGCCGTGACAAGTTATATAGGCTGGGGAGACTGTTTCTAATTATTGGAAGGTTGCTAAAGGGTGCTGTTTGAGGAATATTGATGGTTGAGAAATGGTGTGCAATTTTTGTTTCTATATATATCATATATGTATATATTTATATGTCTATATGTATATAATTAGGGGTACCACCCATGGTGCAATTGTGGGGACCCATCTCTTCAGGGAAGATATAAAAAAAGTTATTCAAAGCACACCTTGCAGATCCTCTATGAATACTTGTTGAGTATTTTCTCTTACTACCATCCACCTACTTGATATTATTTTTACAATGTGATTTATTTATCTTTTATCACATTATGTTATCATCTGCAGCATGCACACATATGACAATCACTGTTCGCTATCCTCATCCAGTTCTACAGGTGTGTGGTGTGTGTGTGTGTGAGAGAGAGAGAGCCCAAGATAGAGCAAGCATTTCCTCTTTGAATCGCGACACTGAGGCGCAGGAACAGGAAGATGGCCGCTTTTCGGTCTCTGATTTACCTAGCGAGTTCCTTACCCATATCCTTAGGGAACTTAGGTATACATTTACCTGGAGCGATTTGCGCAATCACCCTGAGCACAATTCAGGGTGATTGCATATTTTTGAAGTTTTTAAGTATGTCTTTATATACCAGAAATATGACCACAAGTGAAAACGGAGATATCTTATTTTGCCCTAATATAACCATTGGAAAATGTTATATCCACAGTAGTGTGATATACAGTATATGTGACATATAATTTCCTAATTCCTAAATTTCTAAATTCCTAAATTTCCTAATTTCATCTTCATAGTTTTTCACTTTTTGCCTTAAAATTGCACTGTATCTATTGCTACCCAATCTCCCAACCTTTATGTTCCCAATTTGAACATCTTTACCATTGTGATCATTGCTGTCTTCTTATATGTGCTGCCAATCTGTTGTATGGTGTTTATAAATCTTGTTTATCTGTATCTTTTGCTACCCAGTCTCCCAATCTTTATGTACCCAATCTGAACATCTTTACCATTGTGATCATTGCTGTCTTATATGTGCTGTCAATCTGCTGTATGGTGTCTATGAATCTTGTTTAAATTACTAATCAAGCTGTCAATGTAATCAATCAGAGCTTTAATATAACAATGTGCTTTAATATACTTACTAAGCTCTCTCATCTCATTTTTCTCTTGCAATGTATCTTTATCATTTATCAATTCTGATAGGAATTACCTACTTAAAATTATCTGCTAGATTAAGGACTTGCCCGAAACGCTGCGCGTACTAGTGGCTTTACAAGAATGTAAATACTGTACTATCCAATGTATTCTCACAAACCCAATGTACCTTCTTGTATATATATAAATAAATAAATAAATAAATATGGGGCGTCATCCCTAATCCTCCTGTGCTTCAGTGGTAAACCCGCTCTCGCACAAGACAGCACATATAGGACTTATTGCTTATTGTCACTATTTCGCTTATAAGTAAGTATACATGTGACATATTCCAAGCCATATTTTTTCCTAGGCACTAACTCTTCCTCTCAGTTTTATTAAACAATAGAAATTTTATACAAAATTTGACAATATCCTGAGTTACTTTACAATTTATTTAAATATTTTAGTTTTGTTTTATTATTTTTATAAAACTGTAATATCAATATAGGTATAGGTTCAGTACTAATTGTAATATCTTAACATACTAAGAAGGTTAGGTTAGGTCGGTGTTTTCTATTCAGGATTTCAAGGTAAACTCAAATATTCACAATAAATTAGTATGTCACATATGCACTTATTCATATGCCAAATATTGACTATAAGCAACTGCGAGAACGGGTTACAACGGTAGCCGGAGGAAGGCGACCCCAATCCTTGGCAGCGATCAGTTGTCTTCGGTTTTAATGTCTCCTCTTTTAATGACTTAACCTAATTGTGCAGTTGGTAGAGTATTCGCCTCTCATATCATAGGACGGGTGTTCGAGGCACATATAGCCCAAGGTGAATGAAATTTATATATATATGTATATATATATATATATATATATATATATATATATATATATATATATATATATATGTATGTATATATATATATATGTATGTATGTATATATATATATATATATATATATATATATATATATATATATATATATATATATATATATATAATAATATATATATAAATATATACATCCAGTGTGTGTGTACACTTGCCTAGTTGTACTTGCGGGGGTTGAGCTTTGGTTCTTTGGTCCCGCCTCTCAACCGTCAATCTACTGGTGTACAGATTCCTGAGCTTGTAACGTTTCGAAATAAAATGGAAAGAATGAATACTGAAATAATGTGTGAGGGTTTGGGGTGAGGGAGGTAGAGAGGTGGAAGGGATGTGGGAGGAGTAAGGAGTGGGCAGGGGGAAAGGGAAAGTTTAGAATGAGGAAAAAGGAAGAGACTGAGAACACGGAGAGAAGTAGAAAGTAGAAGTAGAAGATAGGAAGGGCTGCCATCATCCATTCTAACTCGGTACATATAAGACAAGGAATGGAACTTGTCTGTACTTTAGGATGTTATCAAATATATCTTCTGTCAGCATGTACTCGTATATTATAATCATAAAACCAGTAAGCTCAGAGTGCTTTACACTTTAGCTTGCAATATATCAGAAAATCCAAGATCTAGCGAACACAATTAAAGTCAGATTAACAAGCAAGTTAATCAAGTATTAACATAAGTATCATAATTCAAGGAATTTAACTTAATGTTCACTATGTCAGGATTAATGTACAATATGAGTCACCACACAAGACACTGAGGACACTACAGCTGACACTGCCCCCTGATAATCACACAACACCTCCAGGTGGAGACATCCCCAATTTATCACCTTACAGTTCAACTTACCAAGTGTCTGAGCCTAAATTGGATAGAGAGGGAAGTGGAGGAGGGTTGACAGGCAGAGTTTCCCCCGTCCGATCGACAGCCTGGGCTCGGTGGCTGTTCAATCGTCCAGCCTCTCTATCTGCTTTGTTCTCTGCTGATGCTCTGCTCTCGAATGTACAGTTCCATTGGTATTTATTAAGGGGGAAGACCCTGGAGCTAGCTCCGCCTACTAAGTTGATAGCCTCAGGCTATCTGCTTGCCACGTCTGGTCAGCGGCTTGTTTGACGATAAGACACCACCAACCGTCTGCAATTATCAGGTTAGCAGAAGCAAGGTAAATTCACACGACCTGACCCCTGGTCAACTTGTGGTCATTAACATTCTAGAGGTGTGAGTTTTCACACCTCGTGTGTGGAGCAAGACTAGTAACTGTGTGACTCACCATAGATGTGAAGTGCCTTGTATAGTGACTTGTGAGCCTCTTGTTGAATCACTTGTGATACAAAGTTTATTGATGTGTGTATTTGTTTGGGTGATTGAATATGCATGTGTATGTATATATATATATATATATATATATATATATATATATATATATATATATATATATATATATATAATATGTACATGTATGTATGAGTATGTGTACATGTATATATAACATTAATAATTGTGTAACTAGCGTCAAAAGATTGTTAAGATTGTTATTTGCTTAGCTAAACGAACTAGAGGGTTCAGTTCCTGAACCGATTATGTGTCTCTGTAACCCTTTACACCACCGCCCACGGGATGGGTATGGGGTGCATAATAAAGAAGTGAAATGAAATCTAGGGTCAGACAACCTGGCGCCTCAAATCCTGTCTGGCTGACTCATGTTGTATGTATATATTAAATACAAAAC